GAGCAAATCACTTAGGTGTTGATGAATGGCAGAAGCAGAGCTTTTCTGTAACCTATCTTACAAAAGACAGAAAAAGCAGGTCCCTTAGGAGCTCTGGTGGTGTAGTGCCTAAGGCATTTGACTACTAACCAGAAGCCTGGTAGTTCAAACTCACAAGCCACTCCTCGGAAGGAAGGTTGGGCAATCTACTTCCACAGTGATACCACTTCCAAAACCCAAGGAGGGATTGCTATGAGTCAGATCTGACTCCATGGCAGTGAGTTTTAGTTGAGTGCAGGGTGCAGTATAGCCCAGAATCCAGGCTGCCACCTGTGAGGAAAAAAATCATGAGCTAGAATGGACTGAGGTTGCTGAGCAAGTGGGAAATGAGCAGAGCCTGAGTTCTGGGAAGGTCTTGCCATCTCATCCAGACCTGAGCCAAGAGCCTACTTATGCATATTGTTTAGCTAGGCATGACATTGGCTGGAAGCACAGAGGAGGAGTACAATCAAAGGCTGTGGGAACCAGAGACAGGCAGGGTGACAGGCTCTTAGCCCAGTACTGTGCCCATGACTATGGAGCTTTGTCAGGTAGAGAAGAGGCTGGGTTAGTTCGGTGCATGTTCACCTCCTAAAGAGATTTTCTTGTGGAGTTCAGACCCACCAAAGTCAGAATTCCCACACACTTGTGAGACATTGATAAGAACATGTGGAACTACTAAGTCCATGTTTTTGCATCAGGTGTTTATGGAATGGATTGCCAGCAGAAGACAGAAAGGATGGAGAATGAAGGTATGATGAGATGTTGCATCATGGACAGTGGATATCAAGTGCCTTTTTATTCCTGAAAAAGAGAACTAGCCTCTTTTCTTCTTAGAAGTGATTTATTAAGGTAATTAAGATCACAGGTAAGCCATAAAGAGAGGATTACATAGATCCAGGGGTGCATATAGTTTGAATCCTTTATCCAGGGAATTAAAGTAAAGATTTTCTTGAAGCCTGAGTGGGTTTATCATTTATGTTCCCATATCAGACATATCAGTGCCATGGCCTTCATACTGACAAGTTCCTGGAGTCCCTACATGGAATGGGGGAGGCATCTCAGCTCAGTATTCTACCCTGTCCCCTCCACCCAGACTCTTTCATCCTCCATGCCCTTAGCTGAGGTCCTTTATTTTCAAATAAGGATGTTGTTTGAGTATGTTGTGTGAGGGAAAAAGAGAGACAGCAACGGGTCTTGTATTCTGGGCCCGCACCCTGGTTCTGATTCATGTCTCCAGCTCAACTCCCCTTGTTCTGTGTCCCTGTGTCAAGTTCCATAGACTGGGTGGGACACCAGAAGACTCTGCTTAGTTCTACAAACTCTGAGCATAGTGTTTCCCAGTTGCCCCCACTATTTTCCTGTCCCTGGGTCTTCCTGGGCACATTCCTTTCACTTATCCTGTGAGGTTATCCTTGTCGTGTTGCTTCTCATACCACTGCACAGACCTCTTGTCTCTGTGGAGGTTGTCTTTGTAGCTCAGTGGCAATTCCAGATCTTACTCTTGCATAGTGTTCAAACCACATCATTTCCTAAGTTCCAAGCTTGCCCTTGTTTCATGTTTCCTGGATTATCCTATGTAACTCCTTGGGATGAAATGAGACTGTGGGGAGCATGGCCTTGATCTCAGCTGGTGAGTGACCAGTCAAATTTTTGAAGTTCAAATTCTGATGTCCTGTTGGGTGCCCAAGCCAGGGGTTTGAGTGTTTCTACTAATCTTTCACTTGAGGGTCTGCCCTACTCTCTTGAGTGACCATGAGACACAGCAGAGAATCCAGTCTGGAATAGGGAGAAGAATGAGGTCCACAGAGCTGGTGAACAGAAAGGCACCCATAGGCACTGCCATTGGATTGTATCCTATTTTTTCTCCTCAAGGCAGCATGTGGGCTGGCTCTGAGTAAAAGCTTTTATTGCTGGGTAGCAATCATCTTCTTTGTGATGTTTTGAGCACTCTGGGTGACATTGGATTGTGGGAGAAAATGTGGATGGGATAACTCTTATGGTGACTCTTCTTGGTCACTCTGGTGCCACAAACCTGTGGTCTCAGTGATGCTATGATTCAGATGAAGGCCTCTACCCTTATCCTCCCTGGTTCTCATGAGGGACTGAGCTTTGTACCTAGGGGGTACCCTGGTTATGGTGCTTGAGGGCTGTTAGCTTTGCAAGGGACAGCCTTATGTATATTCTGCCTTGAATACAAGGGGCTACCCTTAATTATTTTACTTTTCTGTATCAGACCTTGTTGTTGTTGTTGTTATGTGCCGTCGAGTCAAACCCGACTCATAGCAACCCCTCCTTGGGTTTCCGAGGCAGTATCACTACAGAAGTAGGATTGCCCAACCTTCCTTCCGAGGAGAGGCTGGTGGGTTTGAACCGCCAGCCGTCTGGTTAGCAGGCAAGTGTCTTAGCCACTATGCTACCAGAGCTCCCGTATCAGACCTTAGTATTTCTAAAATAGTGATCTAGATAAATGTGATAGTTACAAACACACACACACACACACACACACACATTGCTGTCAAGTCGATTACAACTCATAGTGACCTCATCAGACAGAGTAGAACTACCCCACAGAGTTTCTAAGGTTGTAAATCTTTAAGGAAGAATACCACAGCTTACTCCCATGGAGTGGTTGGTGGGTTCAAATATCTGACTTTCTTTCTTTCTTTTTTTTTTAAATTGTGATTTGGGTGAAAGTTTACAAAGCAAATTCACTTTCCATACAGCAGTTCATATACACTTTGTCTCATGACATTGACTACAATTTACCATAATGTAACAACTCCCTTCCCACTTCCTCCCAATTGTTACCTCTGCCCTGTGTTCATCCCTCCATGCACTCCTGCCCCCTGAGCTGTCTCCCTGTGTGTAAACAGCCCTTCTTTCTCCCATGATTGTTCTCTCCACGGAGTGTATCTACCTAGTGTAAATGTTCACCTCATATGCCTGTCTATTGTTTGGCTGGAAGCCACAGGTGTGGGTTCAATTCCAGACCTGAAGGGAAGCTAGTGGCCATACTCTCAGTGGCTCCATCAGGCTCTATCAGACTAGCAAAACTCGTCCTTTTTCTTTTTTCCAAATGATTTTGAGTTTTGTTCCACATTGTCCTCCCTCTCTATCCAGGATTTCTTACATAGATCCCCCTCCGAGTGGTTGACAGTGGTAGCTGGGCACCATCTAGTTTTTCTGGTCTTATGGTTGTATAGGCTGAGGATGGCATGGTGTACCAGTCACTTGGACTAATTTTTTCCATGAATCTTTGGTTTTCTTTTTTCTTCTTTGCTCTGGATGTGGAGAGACCCATCATTGCATCTAGATGGCTGCTTGCAAGCTTTTAACATCCCAGTCACTACTTGGAAAAGTGGGAGGTGGAACAATGTTTTGTGTAGTATGTTATGCCAGTTGAGCTTGATGTCCCCTGAGACTACAGTCCCAAGCCCACAGGTTCAACTACTCACTTCCTCTGGGTAGCTGGGTAGTTTGTCCCTTGTCAGCTCTACTGTACACCTGGGAATTCTTACAAAACATACAAATACACTTGTAGAACCATTCATTGTCTGCCAACTCTATATATGGTCTTTGGTATACTCCCCCCTGCATAGACATACCTAATAGTTCAGTATGGCCCCTAAATTTGCCCCTAGTTTTTCCTTGAGGAACTTTATAGCTTTAGGTTTCACATTTAAGTCTTTAATCCATCTGGAGTTAGTTTTGTGTATGGTGTGAGGTGCAGATCTTGTTTCATTTTTCTGCAAATGGATATCAAGTTTTGCCCACGTCATTTATTAAACAAACATTCTCTTCCCCATTTAATGTATTTTGGCCCTTTGTCAAAGATCAGCTGACCATAGGTCAATGGATATATTTCTGGGTTCTCAATTCTATTCCATTGGTCTATGTGTATATATATGTGTATATACAGGCAGTTTTGACTACTGTGGCTATATAGCAAGTTTTGAGATCCGGCAGTGTGAGACCTCCTACTTTGTTGTTCTTCTTTAATGTTGTTGTTGTTGTTGTTAAGTGCCGTCGAGTCGTTTCCGACTCATAGCGACCCCATGCACAGCAGAACGAAACACTGCCCGATCCCGCACCAGCCCCACAATCCCTGCTATACTCGAGCCCATCATCGCAGCCACTGTATCAATCCATCTCGCTTTGCTTATCTGAGGTCTGTTTCCTTTCCATATAAGGGTAGCGATTGGTAGGAGCTCTGGTAGCACAGTGCTTAAGGCACTTGACTGCTAACCAGAAAGCTGGTGTTCAAACCCACCAGCCACTCCTTGGAAGGAAGGTTGGGCAATCCTACTTCCATAGTGATACTGCTTCGTAAACCCAAGGAGGGGTCGCTATGAGTTGGGGCCGACTTGATGGCACATAACAACAACAACAACAACAATATGGTATAATTTAAAACACATGGCTCTTGAATGAGATGTTGTTGTTGTTGTTATATGCCGTGGAGTCGGCCCCGACTCATAGCGACCCCTCCTTGGGTTTCCGAGGCAGTATCACTACGGAAGTAGGATTGCCCAACCTTCCTTCTGAGGAGTGGCTGGTGGGTTTGAACCGCCAGCCTTCTGGTGAGCAGTCAAGTGCCTAGAGGAGAGGCTGCCATTGAGGGCTTGCTGGACAATTCACAATGTTTCTCTAGGAATTCACTCCCCTACCTTATAGGGTCACAGAGGAACTTGGCCTTAGACATGTGGATAGGATGGGAGTGTGCACAGATGTGAATTATTGGCTTGTGTGGGGAGTTTGTGGATTAGTGAGCATGGGCACCAGAGAGGAGGGTGGTGGAGGTGCAATTAGGGCCTGGCTGGCTTTGTGTGGAGCACAGCAGGTAACCAGTGGATATATTCAAGGAAGAAGTAGCTAGCAGCTCTTCTACATTGAGAGATGGTCTTTATTAAGAATGAGATCTCTTCTGTCCGCACAAATGTGGACCTTGCCAGAAAACCCAGGGCCAGTGCTCAGCTATGTCAGGGTGCATTCATTACTCTGGCGATCCAGGGGACAAAGCTGGTGATTCTGGTGTAGACACCCATTGAAGTTATATTGTATCCATAGCTGATAATACCCTGGGCCACACCGTTACACACCAAGGGTCCCCCTGAGTCACCCTGTAAACAGAGAAGGGAAGAGTCTTATCACAGGCCCTCTGACTTCCTCCCTCAGGCACTTTTTTTCTCATTTGTTTTCATGTCATCCTACTCAGGGTTTGGGTGTTAAGAAGAAGAAGGTGCTGAATAGTCACCATTCCCTTTGGCACCAAGTGAGAGAGGTGGGGAGAGTCCATACCCCTGGGAACATCTGCACCATGACCCTCTGTCTTGGCTGAGTCCTCTCTCCAGTTAAACCAAGTCCCAGTCTTTCCTCTTGTTCTTCCATGGAGAAAGGACAAGAGATGAGTTGGAAGGAGTTGCTTAGGTGTCATGGTTTGGGAACAGAATGCCCCCACCCGTAGTCAACTTTGGTATACCGTTGGCTCCATTGGCAGTAAATGCCTGACCACGTGGCTTTAAAATTACTCTCTTTCTGGGAAAAAGGTAAGACAGATCCTTGTCTTCTTACCTTTCTTGTAGTCTGTGGATGCCGAGGGTTCCCCACACACAGCTGAATGGCATCATTGTAGTGTAAGTAGATTCGGCTGCATAACTTATTTTCCTGCACTTCCAGGTCTGCTTCACGCAGTATTTTTGAAAACTTGCCATTATCAAAATCTCCCCAGCCTGCCACGCTGCATACCTGCTTTGCCTTCACCAGGTCCTTACTCTGTGGTAGGGCAATGGGCTTCACAGCTATATTCAGTTTTGCCTTGTTTTTCAGCTGGTCAGAGAAGGTTAGAGATGACAGTTCAAATATTGCCCTGTCACTGGAGCTCATAGAAGGAAGGAACTTGCTCATTTCTCCCCTGCCTGGAAAGTCACCCCAAAACCCCCAAAACAAGCCCACTGCTATTGAATTGATTCCAACACACAGTGAGCCTCTTGGACAGAGTAGAATTGCCCCATAGGTTTCCCAAGGTTATAAATCTATACAGAAGCAGAGCACCTGTTCTATAGCAATCTATTCTCCCACAGAGTACCTGATGGGTTCAAACCACCAAATGGTTTTTGGTTGGCAGTGAGTATTTTAACAATTGCACCACTGGGGCTTCTGGAGAGTCTCCTAGGTCCTCCTCGATTGCACTGGGACTAGTAGAGCATAGAGGTTAGAAGACAGGAGGTTCTAAGTTTCTGAATGAGCTGATGATACTCTCCAGTATCCTGGGTGTGGACATGTATAGACAAGATGGTACCTTCAGTAACATGATGTCATTGTGGAATGTATCACCATTAAACTCTGGATGAGGAAAGCTCTGAAGCACAGGAATGAACTGTGTAGTGGGTTTATGTATTGTGGCATCATGAGCTCCTACGATGACAGTCATAATCCTGTAAATAAAAAAAAATTGGTAAATCATAGGAACTTCAATTCTGTTTCAGATAAGGATATTGATGTTCAAGATCAAGGCACACCTGAAGCTAAGTCAAATTGGCCGGAGAAAAATGAGACAGAAATCATGTCTCCCTTCTCCCCTTCAACATCTCAGTCAAATATGGATATTTTTATCTTAGTCAGTCCTGGTCCTTCAACAGTCTCACTTGCCACCCTGATCCTTGCTCACACATTCCAATCCTGTATCCCACACTCATTTCTACCCAGATTGGAAAAGCATTATGGGTCCTCTGATGAGTTCATTGAGCCTTGTGCACTGAAGGATCATCATGAAATATGTCTATGGGATGCTGTTGTAAATTCCTAGGAAAAAGGAACCCAATTCCTGTGCCTCACCTTCCGTTACAATGAGCTGCTGTCATCACAAAATCTTCTCGCACCAGAAAACCCCCGCAGAACTCCCAGTGAACGCTGTCATTAGAAATCTTTACTCCTGCCATGTAGGGCCGAGAGTGTGGTCTGGCTTCTGTGCCCCCTTTGATCACTGCATAAAGATAAAAATCTTCCCTGGATATCTGTGCTCACAGAACCCAGAGGATGAGTAATGGCTGTGGCCTGGACTACGGGGTGTTTCAGGCTTTGATGATGGGTGGAGTGTGACTTGAGTTAGAAGGGAGCAGGCTGCAGGGCCCCTAAGAACAAGATGGGCTTCGGGCTCCTGTGAACAACATGAGTAACACGGCCCATTTTTTCCCTAGTTCTCACTTTTTTCCTCAGAAGATAAGGAGGCTCAGAATTTTATTATTTTATTTTTTTGAGGGTGGTTTAAATATACTTCAGACACTTGTTACAGAGAAATGATCTGCCTTCACGATTCACAACCCAAAAGACCAAGAAAATACTCTGTCTGACCTATTCTGGACACTGGTGTCCCAATCCCTTTCAACATGGGCTGATTTCTAAGTCCTGAAAATGATGAGCTCTTAGACCAGAACCTTTTGAATCTTTCTTGTTTGTCCTGAGTCTGAACATCATCATCATCATCATCATCATCATCATCATCATCATCATCATAATAATAATAATAATAAAAACTATTTATCTTCATTGAATACAGATTGTTGTTAGGGAGGTTGGGGAGGAGAAGTCCTAATGAACTTTTTAATCTACATCTCAGAATTAACTTACGTTAAATTGAGCTTCAGACATAAAGAAGAATGAAGAGAAAATTTGGAAATTAAAGTGGAGATATTGAAATGAACTCCTAATATCTGGGTGGAACCAGGTCTCCAGTGGTAAATGTGCCAAAAGTTCAACAACCCAGTTAAGTTCTGACTATCTGTTTTAAAACAGCAGTGGCGCTCAGCTGAATTAGCACAAGATGATGATGAAGTCTAGAAATTGGAATATAAAATAACTTTTTCTTCTTGATCCATACAATGACACCCAATATTAAACTGTCCATTCTTAGGTTTGTTGTTGTTGTTTGCCATTGAGTCAGACCCGCCTCATAGTGACCCCTCCTTGGGTTTTCGAGGCAGTATCACTACGGAAGTAGATTGCCCAATCTTCCTTCTGAGGAGTGGCTGATGGGTTTGAACCACCAGCCTTCTGGTTAGCAGGCAAGTGCCTTAGGCACTATGCTACTAGAGCTCCTTTTCTTAGGTTTAGATAAAGGAAATTTTTAGTATTCGTTTTTCACTTTTCCACCCCCATCAGAATCTGTGGCTATCATAATAATAAGTCACTTTCCATATAACAGAGGTGCAGCCCATGACCCACCAGGTTTTTTGGGAGCATTTTTTTTTTTCTCTTGTCATTTCTATACATTGTTTATGAAACCATAGAGTTCAACATATTCAAGGAGAGCAACTGGGTTCAGGATACATCACAGAGATAGGTTGAATGGAGCTGTGTAGAAAAGTCACTGGAGGAGTAAGTCAGGCCTCTGAGGTGAGGACAGTCACTTACCTATGAGGGTCCTGGAGAGCAGAGGGAAGGCCAACAGGAGCAGCAGCGGCAACATCTTCCAGAAAGCTGTTTTCTAACGTGTGAAGTTGATTTGGTTTCTTTTCCAGGCTTTATAACCCAAGACATGAGAAAGGAGGCAGGCTCCATGATCATGTATTTCCTTAGGGTTGTGATGATTATCAAGATAGCAACTTAGCATGTCCCTCTTTCCTCCTAGAGGTATGGTAATGGTATTATTAGAAGAATCACAATATTAGGCAGTTGCTCGACCACATTTATCTGGAAATTCTGAATCCTGAGAAGGAAGAAAGGGGAGTTTTAGAGGCTTTTCTTTAAGTCCGAAATTACGTTACTGCTACTAAATGTAGTTTTGGGTTTTCAAAGATTGTGCATGATACCGTATTGCTTTTGTAATTAACAACTGCCTTGTTCTATATATAACATTACTCAATTCAATCCTTCCCATCTTAATTCTTCATTATGTGAGAGCACAAGAGTTAAATTTGAATGAATGTAAAAGTAACAATCACCACCCTTGTTATAATAAACAATTGCAAGATCTTGGTCATCTATCAACTTCTTGGAGATTTCAAATGACTATAGAATCATGAAAAGTACACCATACTTACTATAGCTGTATTACACCCCAGAAGAATACAAGGAGAGACACAGAGTGAAGCAAAGAAAATATCACACAACAGAACTTCCATTTTGCAAGAGGAATGTTGCTAAGCTGCCCCTGGTGGGCATGGTCTTCAATCAGAAATGTCATTCTAAGCTTTAGGGCTTTTATTGGCCTCCCTCAAGACCATGATAGATTACATTTTGCCTCATGAGGCTCTCTGGGGGCATGGAAGGTAAGGAGATTGGCTGCTAAACAAAAGGTCTGTGGTTCAAACCCAGCAGCTGCTCTGCAAGAGGAAGATGAGGCAATCTACTTCCATAAAGATTTATAGCCTTGGATACCCAATGGGGGTCACTATGAGTTGGAATCCATGGTAGTGGGTTAATGAGTGGCTTAGTGTCAGGCCCTGAGGCGGTCCCTCTTTGTCTGATCAGACACCATTTATTACCCTCAGGTGTTAGTGTGATTGAAAAGAATGGAGAACAATGTCTTTCTGCAATTTGATTCCACACTTGGAACACAATATACATATAGAGAATGAAAGAGGATATATAAAGCTTTTCTTCCAGGCACCCCCATGTCCCAGTTGGCCAGATAATGTTGGACCTCAGTGAAGACAGCCATGCAGGCAATGTTTGTGCAGTGCTATTGTTTCAAGGCATGAAGAAACAGCCCAATTAAGTGTGACTGGCCATGCTTGATATTACAGTTTCTTCATTTATTCAAAACTCCTGTCTTTGGAATAATGGTGGTTGCAGTGGAAATAGTGGCCTCTCCAGGAATCATATTTATTTTTTCTCTTTTATTGTTGTTGTTGACAATATGCACAGCAAAACACACACTAATTCAATTGTTTCTATGTGTACATTTCAGTTATATTGATTACATTCTTTTAGCTGTGCAACCATTCTCACCTTCCTTTTCTGAGTTGTTCCTTCCTCATTAAGATGGGGCAGTCTACTTCTGTAGTGATACTGCCTTGGAAACCCAAGGAGGGGTCGCTATGAGTCAGGTCTGACTCGACGGCACATAACAACAACAACATTAAGATAAACACTGTGACCCCTAAGGCTTCTACCTAATATTTTGAGTTCCTGTTGTCACTTTGAGTCCATATAGATATGAGGATAAAGATATTTGCTTTGTTAGGTCTGACTCCATATTGTTAGAATAAAACTCCATAATTTTAGTGAAGATGCCATTTCTTTAAAGCCTGGCTTTGACTTTATGTTATAGTTAACTTGTTTTCTCTCTAAGTTACAGTTCTTAGTTCCCGCTACATCTTGTTACCTAAGACAGAGCCATCTATGCCAATAAAAGCTCCTGGGCTGGACTTTAGGACTGGCCACCTGGGCTTTATTAAACACCAGTGGAGGCTCTTAAGGATTACCTGACTGCTGGGGTACTTCACAGGAAACATTCCTTTCTTAATTACCCATTGCCTTATCTAACTTTTGGAAAATTGTTAACTAACCTTGCAAATGTGCTGTGTCTCTTTTTGTTTTAGCATAAAAATCCCTAAAGGAGCTCTGATGGCTCAGTGCCTAAGACATTTGACTGCTACCCAGAAGTTTGGCTGTTCAAACCCACCAGCTGCTCTGTGGAAGGAAGATAGGGTAATCTAGTAAAGATTTAGTGCCTTGGAAATCCTAGGGTCATTGCTATGAGTCTGAATCAACTTGCTGGCAGTTATTTCTATATATTTTTATTTTTTAATGGTAAGTGAGGAGCAGAGCAGGCATTTTTGGAGTCAACTGAGATCCTGTCTGTTTCTCATTGGCACATGTCCTAATTAAACTCTCTTCTCCTTGAACTCTGGTATGGAATATTGGCTGCACCTCTCCAGGGACAGACCTTGACATTTTTTGGGTTACAGTTTCCTGGCACCCAAAGTGCCAATCCTTCACCCTAGAGTCACCCTCCTAGGGATTTCTTGAGAGCAAGAAGGCCACTCTGCCTAATTGGAAGTGTCTGTTGGAGCTTGTTCTCATTGCTTTTCTTCAAGGAGGAAGAGGCTGACTTATTGCTTAATTAGGGATAAGGACTTGGTATAAGACACTTAAAACCAGGAACTGTTTCTTGTAGACCCTGGGAGGCCAAGAATGGGTGACTAGGTCTTGTGAGGAACCGGGTGACAGGACAGTAGATAAACAAATATGCTTTAAGATGGGCAACAGGAAGAGTTATGTTCTAGACTGCAGTCCCTTAGAGTATATTCTTAAGAATTAAGTTTCTTTCACTGGGAATCCAATGAGGAAGACTAGGATGAAGTTTTTGTATACCAACTCCTGGCCCAAGTGTCAGCTCCCCAGTAGAATATCCTGGCCAGAGTTTGGGTCATTAAGTTGTAATGAAGTTTTACAGCTTGATTTGTACTGTACCAGAATGGGGAAACAGAATGAGAAAATATATGTTGAATGCTTCATGACATTGTGACATAAAAAGAAATCACAAACCAAATGTAAAATTCAATCTCCTGTTTTAGAGGTATCTGAAAATGATGACTAAGTTTTAGATGTTCTTTTAGCTCCTTCAGCAGAGGGAAGAAATCCTCAGAGAGGGATGGAGGTGACTTCATCCTCTCACTTTCTCACCCCTGTGGTATCCAAACACCAAAACACAACTTAGAGCCCCACCGTGTGGAGCTGAAGGGGGGCAGAAAATGGGGTGGTGTCTCCTTCCCACACTTGCTCAGGTGTAGAATTTGGCCCTTTCTCAGGGGGCTATTTCCTCTCAGATAAACACCAGCAGACAGAGGAGATGAGGGCACACATATGCTGTGGGTTCATTCTCCTTTTTTTCTTCTAACTTGTTCAACTGAAAGAATAGCCTACCCTTTTACCAGTCGGAGGACCTCTGGTAGCGTAGTGCCTAAAGCACTTGACTGCTAACAAGAAGGCTGGCGGTTCAAACCCACCAGCCACTTCTCGGAAGGAAGGTTGGGCAATCTACTTCTGTAGTGATACTCCCTCGAAAACCCAAGGAGGGGTTGCTATGAGTCAGGTCCGACTCCATGGCACATAACAACAACAACAACAACTTACTGGTCAGACTTCTGCACTGTGTGTGATTTATTTTTCTTCCATTTTTAAGACTCACCAGTCCTTTGGGCAGACTATCAATCTCTGATAGATATTTTCCTGACATCCAAGGAAAGATGCATGGTTTTCCTTAAGGCTTGCAAAAGGACCAAAGTCTGGTATACTGTGGAAGGGGCAAATGGAGTTCCTCCCAAGCTGTCCTTGCTCTCTACTGAGCCCAAGTGGGACCCAAACACTGATGCCGACCTGGTTTGTCTCCAAACATACAGAGAGTATCTGATGCACGGTTCCAGCACAGAATCCCAAAGCAACTTAACTTCAGCAAGGCAAGGGAAATCTAGAAGATACTAAAAGAAGCCATCCTTACATTTGGGCTCACCTAAGCTACTGGAAAGGAGCTCTGGCAAAACAGTGCCTAAGGCATTTGACTGCTAACCGGAAGGTTAGTTGCTCAAATCCACTAGCCACTCTGTGGAAGGAAGATGGGGCAATCTACTTCCATAAAGATTTACTGCCTTGGAAAATGAAAACCAATGGGGTTGCTATGAGATGGAATCGACTCAATGGCAGTGGGTTTGGCTTTCTATTTGGTTTTGAGCCATTGGAAGTGACAATGGACATCATTTTATCTCCCAAATAACTAAAGACCCCAATCAAGTAGGAGAGTAGAATGAATAAATCAGACTCTTAAAAGGCATTGGGCCAAATTACATGAGGAAACTGTCTGCTGTGGGTAGAAATATTGGCTTTAGTCCTTCTGCGAGTGAGATAAGCCCCGAGGGAGCTACACAAATTAGCCCATTTGAGCTGATGTATGGGAGACCTTTCTTTCTAAACTCCAGAGTGGGAGGTGACCTTAACCAGATTGGTGCTAAGTCTATGTCTCAATATCTGGCAGAACTTCCCACCACTCTATCTTTTCTCCACAGATCTGTCTGTACCTGACACCAATTTGTCTTTAAAGTACCTGCTCACACCTTTGATCTGGGAGATTGCTCAGTTTAGCATGAGACCACTCCAGGATGAAGCTCACTGGAGTTTGTGAGAATTAACTAATGCTTCATCTGGCGGATTATGACTATAAAGAATTTTGCTTTGTTAGGCCTAAGTCCATAATGTTGGAATAAAACTCCATACTTTTAGTTAAGATGCCATTTCTTTAAGCCTGGCTTTTGTTGGTTTTCTTGGACACTTTTACTGGATGAACTGAGGTCTTTTCTTGCTGAACTACGAATGGCTGGGAAGTTGTTAAATTCTTACTAGAAGAAATAATTCCTAGATTTGGCCTTCTCTCAACCATTGGAAGGCACCCTGGTAGCATAGGGCCTAAGGTATTCGATCGCTACCCAGAAGGCTGGCACTTCAAACCCACCATCCACTCCTTGGAAG